CTGAACCTCAAATTATAGCTGTCATTTTTTTGAAATATAGTTTTTTGCCAAAACTTACAGGATTTATGCATTGATTTAGAATAATTTTGAAGGAAGTTACAGGGTGAAGTTTGTGGTAGCATCGACCGACTTCATCGCACACTCAGCAGAATTAGTTCCACCTTTTTGTCAGTTTTTGCCTTCAGAAATCGCGGCCCGATGTCTCCTTTTACTAAGTATAGACGAAAATTTAAAAAATGAATAGAATTCAGACCCAAACCAAGTAAATTCCTTGAATTTGTGCTCGTATAGTCCCTAATTAATTTGAAATCAGAAATTAAGTTGATAGTAATTCTCGTTTCACATTTATTGCTTGCCTTTTCCCTAACTGATTTAGCTGAAATCTGTGCCTTTCCGAAATTTTACTGGAGAATTTATTTCTTCGTGATTTCATTAGATACTAAAAAGGGCCGAAAATAGAGAAAACCGGAAATAGAGTTATACGAACAGAGCTAGTGCCGCATGCTGTCAAGCAGTTACGAATTTAGGTGCACCCAAATTTGGACAAAAAAGAGTGGCAGGAAAATTCGTTGCTGAAACTGAAGTCGGTGCAGAAGCCATTCCCGGTGAACATGGATGTGGGTGTACTAAAATGGAGATTACTGCTCAGCTCTGAACAAATGCTTCCTATTGCAAGTTCGGTTTTATGCCTTTTTTGCTGTAGCAATTGCACAAAATACATATTGTCGAGACTGTGTCTGCGTGTTGGTTTGTGTATAAGTGTGTGGGTTTGTGTATGTGTGTGTATTTGTGCATGTGTGTGTTTGTGTATATGTGTGTCTGTGTGTGCGTTTGTGTGTGCGTGTATGTGTGCGTGTTTGTGTATGTTTGTGTGTGTTTGTGTGTGCGTTTTTGTGTGCGTGTGTGTGTGCGGGTTTGTATGTGTATTTATGTGTTTGTTTGTGCTGTGTGTGTGTGTTCCCAGTGCATTTTATTTTTATAAAACATATCAGTAGGCAGTTTAGGATGGAAGGCCTGGTGTAAAGCTGTACCTCGGCCTTTGAATGCATCCCAGATTTCACCGGCATTGACTTCCCACCCCAGCTACTCACACTCTTTTGGTTATCATAGTAATATTTGGGAAGATTCTAACCAGCCTTAGTTTATTTTGCATTTCTTTAGTTTGTCTTAATTTAGCCTTGGTGGCGTACATGCCACTCTGGCTTCCTTTTCGCGCTGAAAGTCGAAGGTTCGATTTCGTCATTGGGCAGCCCTTTCTTCTACGATTTATTCATTCGTTTCGATGGCAAATTGATCCTGACATATGCGAGAAAGTCAAAATCCCATCAGTTTCTTTCTAAAAAACCCCAAGAAGGAGAAGTCCGTCGAATCCCTTGCAGAGTGTGATTGCTTTCAACACTTGATGCCACTCGGGCTACCTTCGATTGCTTCCACTTCTCATAAAGAGTGAATACAGCGGAGAGGGAGGACGGAGAAGTTTGACTGTTCGGCTTCAGTTTAGCCATGTTTGTGTATTTCTTAATTCTCTCGTTAATTATCGCATAACTTTCTAATGGGGGATTTACTTGAATTTTAGTGAACTGTTGGCCGAATGAAAATCCGGATGGATGTGTTGTAAATATAGAATACACTCTTCAAGCTGAACAAATGACGCTTAATAACGTTGTTATTGTTATTCCTCTGCCGTATGTCTTCGCTTTTCTTTCTTTTCTCTATTTATTTTAAATACTTTAATACTTAAATAGTTCAAATACTAATACTTTAAAAACAGATATTTTAAATTAAAACAAATACTTTAAATATTTGTGTTCAATCCGTCCTAGGCTTTTTAGTACTGTGCATGAGTTAATCGAATCTCCCAAATATTAAATTAGGCCTAGAATTTCTGCCACTTTCGGAAATTTTAAATAATTAGCTAGTCACTAAGGAATTGATTTGGTTTTATTTTTATCTGAGATTACAGGGCGGGAGAAGCTGGGAAACTTGATGAACCAGAGCCATGGTTTCATTGTGAGTGTGAAGGGATTTCGTGACTTTTTCTTAAAAATTATTAGAAGTAGGGAAGAGGGGAAGCGCTGAAAAGTACAAGATTCGGCCACTGTTGAACTGAGAATTGCTAAAATTGATTGAATAGTTATGCTACAATAAAATACAATTTATTCATCAAACCGAGCTCATATGCGTGCCCTCATCACTGGATTTTAAAAGTTAAGCATTCCTGCTACTGAAAGCAGCTTGTGAGATTCGAAATTACTTAGTAGTAAGTGCTGAAACTTGTTTGCATTTTGTAAAAACAGGGTATTTTTGCAAATTTTTGAAGTCATTTTTGGATTGCTAAATCAGTTCTGCAAGATGTAAAACTTCGTTGTTTGTCGAATTTGGTTTGTTTGCTGTCATGTTGCAATTGCCGAAGAAGAAAATTTCTCGCTTCTTTCTTCTGGGGAAGGAGGGGGAGGGGTGTGGGAGAAAGCTAAGTGTTTTGGAAATTTTTTTGTGAAAAATGTAAGACATGAAAGTTATCCGTTTCTGTTTTGCAAAAACTAGGAGAAAGATGCCATATTTTTAGTACGTCCCTGTTTTGTAGATACTTCCCCACGTCACGTGCTTTCCGGCGGTAATCACCTATTTGTGCGGTAAATAAGGGCGCAAAATTCTCGACACCGCTTGAATACTGCCAGTTTTTTTCTGCTGTTCAAAAATGTAATTAGAATTTGTGTCAGGCCAGCGACAGTGCCGGTAATCTCGGAATGTGAAGGAAGTTACGAATATGTGAAATCGCGATCACAGCTTGTTTGGAGTTTACCGGTTATTGATGAAACAAATAAAACTGGTTCACTGGAATTTAGTACTCCAAATGGACAATCCGATCACTTTTTCCCCGTCACTGTGCGCTTCACGAGCAGCGACTTGTTCTGTGATATGGCTGTAAGTCATCTCGTTACTTTTCTTATATCACATTATTGCGTTACCCTACGAATTCGCAGATGAAACAATGAAATATACCACGGTAATAAAGATGAAAAAAAGGTCAAGAACAAAATCAAATTCGATTACAAAAAAGCATTCGATAGCATCCAGCGGATTGATTTGCCACGAGTTTTTATACACGGAATTACTGGACAGTAGAATTATTAAGAAAGTGAATATACGCCTTTTGCTAGACAAAAGTTTAGTCAAGTTCGTGTACCAATGGAAAGGTGCGTGTGGCAAAGCACCTCACATTGCCTAAGCTTTCATGGCTTCTTCCGAAATGATTTTCCGTGTGTTTGATTAGGGCATTTTTGATTTTTGAGCTCTTAATTATGATTTCCAGATGGTTTTCATCAATTTTAATAATTTAGCTTAAGTTTCATTGCTAAATACCTCGGGATTTGCTGGGTTTTGGTGTGGATTCCTCCTGAACAGTTGTTCTGGTTGCATGAAAGTACGATGGGGTTCGGCATTCGTCACTGCATGAAACGAACAACAAATAAAAAACATAGGAATTGATTTCATGATGTTCAAAACAGTCACTGCACAAAGCGTTCCATCGCGAACGGAGCCCTTTTTGCGAAGAATATAGGGCCGAAGGGGAATCGTACCCATTTTCACGCGATTTCTATTCTTTCCTACATGACTGTTAATCACCCTGAAAAAGATGGGGGAGGGGG